TGGGCTCTGAAGCACCTGCTTTAAAAATGCCCAGCACCTTTGATGACAGTGAAGGATGCACGTGAGCACTTGTGCAGGCAGTGTCCATAGGAGCACAAATGGGCACAACCTTTCTGGAAAATAATTTTGTAACATATATAAGCCTATAGATGGTCCCCTTCTTATATATGGTATAAACCCTGATCCCTAATAGAATATATTTTAAAATGAGAACCTAAAATAAACAAAGATGCACACTAAGATCTTCACATAAAGACGTCCATGAATGAAAAAACTGAAAACAGCAACCATCTAAATAGCCAGCATTAAAAGAATGATGAAATAAATGATCATAGCCATTGAAAACCCGATGGAGCAGTTCTACTCTGCTAACAAATGGGGTCATCATGAGTCAGAATCAACTCCATGGCAAGAGTTCTCTTTCTTTTTGTACAAATATGGAGTATTATACAGTTAAGAAAAATGACCATGAGGAGTTCCAATGCAATGACTATCTGAAGGCTCACCACTGTACTCCTAGTTCTTGAAGGGCAGGGACCCAAAAGCTTATTGAACCGAATTTCTGGATGATAGAATTATGGGTAATATTTTCTTCCTTAGGCTTCATTCTGAATTTCAGATAAAAACTGAATGATGAAAAACTTTTGGAAATGGATAGCGGTGATGGTTGCACAACACGGTGAATGTAAATAATGTCTCTGAATTACACACTTAAAAAGCAAACTTTTTGTTATATATAGTTCATTTAAAAAAAAAAAAAAAGCTATGACGGTCTTATGAGAAAAGCAGCAGAAAAATCCCATTAGAGAGGCATCCTACAAAATACCTGATGGGGCCTCCTCAAAACGATCATCAAAAACAAGGAAAGTCATAGGACTAATGGACCACAACTACCACAGCCTCCACCAGAATGAGTCCAGCACAACTAGATGGTGCCAGCTACCATCACTGACTGCTCTGACAGGGATCACAGTAGAGGGCCCCAGACAGAGCTGGAGAAAAATGTAGGAGAAAATTCTAACTCACAAAAAACAAAAAAGGACCAGACTTACTGGTCTGACAGAGACTGGAGAAACCCTGAGAGTAAGGCCCCCGGATACCCTTACAGCTCAGTAATGAAGTCACTCCTGAGGTTCCCCCTTCAGCCAAAGATTAGACAGGTCCATAAAACAAAACAAGACTAAAGGGGCACGCCAACCCAGGGGCAAGGACGAGAAAGCAGGAGGGGACAGGAAAGCTGGTAATGGGGAACCCAAGGTCACAAAGCGAGAATGTTGACATGTTGTGGGGTTGGCAATAAATGTCACAAAACAGTATGTGTATTAACTGTTTAATGAGAAACTAGTTTGCTCTGTAAACTTTCATCTAAAGTACAATTTAAAAAAAGGAAAAAAAATTTATATAAAAATAATTGTCACCTGTACATCAATGTTCATTGCAGCACCATTCACAATAGACGAAAGGTAGAAACAACAGAAATGTCCATCAACAGATAAATGGATAAACAAAGTGGTACATACATAAAATGGAATATAGCTCAGCATTAAAGAGAAATGAAGTCCTGATGCATGCCACAAATACAGATGAACCTTGAAAACATTATGCTGAGTGAAATCAGTCACGAAAGGACAAATATGGTAAGATCTCACTTACGTAAAATAGGCTAATGTATAGAGACCAATGTTTACTAATGTTTACCACGGGTGGGGCAAATCTGCTGCAAAAGACCTCTTCAAAGTGTTAAAAAGCAAAGATGTCACTTTGGGGACTAAGGTGCGCCTGACCCAAGCCATGGTATTTTCAGTTGCCTCATATGTATTCAAAAGCTGAACAATGAATAAGGAAGACTGAAGAAGAATTGACGCCTTTGAATTACAGTGTTGGTGCAGAATACTGAATATACCATGAACTGCCAGAAGAATGAACAAACCTATCTTGGAAGAAGTACAGCCAGAGTGCCTCCCTGCAAGGATGGCAAGACTTCATCTCATGTACTCTGAACAAGTTATCAGGAGGGACCAGTTCCTGGAGAAGCACATCATGCTTGGTAAAGTAGAGGGTCAGCAAAAAAGAGGAAGACCCTCAACAAGATGAGTTGACACAGTGGCTTCACAATGGGCTCAAACATAGCAATGACTGTGAGGATGGCACAGGACCAGGCAGTGTTTCATTCTGTTGTACACAGGGTCACTATGAGTTGGAATGGACTCGATGGCACCTAACAACACCACCACCACCAGGGGTGGTAGGGAGAGGTGAAGGGAGAATCATTGCTTAGGCGACAGTGAGTTTATGTTAATGGTGGTGAAATAGTTTAGAAAAGGATAGCGATAATGGTAGCACAACATGAAAACATGTAACCAATGTCATTAAATTGTATATATGGAAGTTGTGCTGGCAAAGGTTTGATGTATATTATTTCTACCACAATAAAAAAAAATTAATAATTGCTTATGATGGCTGCATATATGGTGAACATAATTAATGTCACCGAACTGTACACATAATAGTTGAAACAGCAAATGTTTTGTTATATGTATTTTACCACAATAAAAATGTTTAAGACCATAAACCTGAACTACTGTGGTAAGTGATGTGTCCCTTGGATGCACCCATGCAACCTCCTCTCTAGCCTTCCTTTTCTGGGGGCCTGGGGGTCTCCATCGCCTCTTCCCAGACTATAGCCAGGGGGCAGTGACTGAGCGACGCTAACAGACCAGTACTCTGCTGTGAAAGCAGGATCAGCATGGCGCTACTTTCACCTCGAGGGGGTGGATATCCAATGAGTTTAGGCTGGAGGCTTCCAGCTGGCCCAGCCTCTATGATGCAGGAAGACCAGCGGCCCAGGCATGGGGTACAAACGTGGACCCGTGGAAGACTGGCTGCCAAGAACACCTTAGCCACTCTGGGGAGGGGAGTGATGCTTTCCGTAATGCTCCTCACACTGACCCTGGCCCTGGCACTGACACTAAGATGAGGCAGTGTGGGGAGAGGGTAGCAGCCTGACCGCAGCCTGAGTCTTGGCTTGTGACTTATTCTTTCCGGGCCCAGTGTCCTCGAACAGAAGGCAAGATGAGCCTGGACACCCTCTGGCCCAAGCGGGCCTGTGGTCGCACCAGGCAGTCTCCATCTTTGGCCTAACGAGACCATATCCCACTGGCGCAGGCTCTGTCAGGGTGACAACACCAAAAGGAGGGCTCAGTGGGCCCAGGGCAGAGCCTCCGAGCCTTGCCCAACAAGTCTGACCTCAGAGCAAGCCAACTCACAGGTGTAGACTGCCTGACCCTTATAGTTGCCATTTAAAACCATCCCATTCATTCTTATAACTTTTCAGAAGATCTATAGATTAACTGTTAGCTCCTTATGTCAAACAAAATCTTAGAAAAAGGACAGGTGTCAGATGGGCCTGGCCATCCCTCCACTCAGCACTTTACCGGCCCCTACAGCAGGCAAGGGTTGGGGTCCCAGGCCAGTCTCTCACTCAAGGGCTTCTCCACATGTGTCTCGAGCCCCACCACCTCCAGAATGGAGAAATCCAGGACTCATTTTCAAAACCAGACGGGAAGACCCCAGATTTTAAAATTCTGAGTATTTGCTAAAACACTACAAAGCATATCTTTCCTTTGTTATACAAATAATTATGAAAATAAACTTCAAATCTGACTTTTACAATCCAAGTTCCAGTGACTTAAAAAAGTCATGCCCTCATAACCACCATCAAGATATTCCGCTTTGGTCAAGCAACAGATGTGTCCATGAGGAAGACTCTGTACCACAATGGAAAGGGTATAAATTAGGGCAGGGCCAGGCATAGGGAAAGAATCTGAGGCTCAGATGGGAAGAGTGAGGATGAAAAGAAGTGGCAGGAAGGGGAGCACTCATGCAGCAGTCACAGCTGTGAGCCTGGGTGACTGGAAGGCCATACAATGTGCCAGTGAGGTCCCCCGTTGACAGATGAGGCAACACCCAGAGAGAAGCCAGGAATGGAGATGTGGCCATCCCTCTCGTACAGCAATAACCTAGGGTGCTGGAAGGAGGAGGGACGCAAGAAACGAAGCAGAATGAAAGAAAGGAGAGACCAAAACGAGATCCCTGTTTAAGAGTTAAAAGGCAGCAGGGCAAGGCAAGTGGCACACTGGTTACAGAACAGCCGGTAGATGGGGCACTGCCTGGGCTCCAGAGGCACCAGGCACCAAGCCAGCAGATGCGAGTCGAGGAGGGGCCCGTGTGCTTGGTGTGAGGGTGCGCTGGTCTAAAGCAGTGTCAGGAGGTGGGATATAAACACAGGACAAGCCTCTTGAGAGTGAGTAGATCCCAGGATGGAGAAAGAACAGACACTAAATCAAGAGGGTCGTTGAGGTCAAGGAAAAGCAGTTGTTAGGAGGGGACGTGAGCCTGCCTGAGGGCAGAAGGTTGAGCGACTGGGTGGGCCTGGAGTTGAAGGGGGCAGACACTGAAGGCACAAGCCCCAGAGAAGACCCTGTGGAGGGGAGCATGGGGGCCATTAGGAAAAGGGATTAGAGACACATTGGAAGCACATGTTGGAAGGCACCAGGAAAAAGCCTGGGACACAGGCGTCCAGAGGGACAGAGACACAGATGCAAAACTAAGCAGGAAGCAAAGAGAGGTAGAGATGGGAGGCCGTCTCCAGAGAGGTCAGAGGAAGAAGAATCCATCTTGATAAATGAGGCCAGGCATGAAGAAGCCAGAGAAGACAGGGAAGAACAGAGGACAGACACACACTCCTCTCCCCTGTGCCGACAACCTCAGATCTGGAGAGCTTGGAACCCCGGAATTTTACAAAACCAGTGCAAAGACATGCTTCTCCTCATGAACCCACAGCTATGTTCCCTAACTTACAGCCCCAAAATGATAACCCCCTTTTGTTCACCTGTTGGATACCTATACTAAGAGCTTCCTTATGAGCAGAGATAAGCCCAGCAGCACACACACACCCTTAAAGAATAATCTGGTAAGAAGTGTAAGTGTTCAATACTCACAGGAACAATAAGCCCTTGCCAAGTCAATAAATTAGCTTCATCAACCTGGATGTTACGGAAGTTTTTCATTCCACATTTGCGGATTTCTTCAAGCTCCTGTTGATTAACAAAGCATAAACGGGTGTCAAACAGGGGAATGCACCACATAGTAAGACCCCTCCTGACTCCCTTGGTCTACTTCAGAAATTAAACTAAGTGACAGCACCACTGATGATGAGGATGCTGATGACAGACTGGACTGAGCCTGATCGAGTAAAGAGGGTATGAAGTGTGACCATCCCCTCCGTGACATCTTGGCTTGTACCCATATCCCAGACCAAGACAAGCTCCCCGCCTCTAGGACCCACTGAACATGAGTGACAGTGCTTCTACTGACCCAGGCTTCCTCCTCTTTGGGTCAGTGACCACCTCTTTCCTTCAATCACCCTCAGTACCTGCACTGGGCAAGCGTGGCAAGCACATGGCAGGTGTTATGGAAATGTGCTATACACCTGACTTCTTCTAGCCAAGATTTCTTAAGTGCTGACTATGCCTCAGATGCTGAGGATATGAAGATGAATAAAACAGGACCAGGAGCAAGCCAGAGGCAAGCCCACAACATTGTCTACCCAATGCTGCAGTGCAATTCAGAGAAACCTCACCTCAATATGGCACACAATAGAGAGAACAGCCTCCCAGTCTGGGGGGTCAGGGTAACAGGAAACCTTCCCAAAGCCTCAGTTTCCTCAGCTGCAAAACTGGGGACTAACACCCAGAGTTGCAGATAATGAAAGGGAAATCATGTTGTGAGTAACAGAACCCTTTGCAAATATGAGTGATTATTATTATACAGTCAACACAGCAATACTGTTTCATCCAGAAAGCACACCACCATGATTACATCAGGGCCCTGCTAGAGATGTCTTTAGCCTGGAATTGTCTGTCCCTTGTTTTTCAACTTTGCACCAGCCTGATGATTTCACCAAATGACATCCAACAGGCACTATAACCCAAGCCACCCAGCATGCACCCAACCGCCCGCATCCAGTCCTCTGTCCAATGACACAACAGCCTCCTCCACATCCCTCAGATGCCTTCTTGCCTGTGATCTCAGCCACCTAGCTGAGCCCTATCTCCTCTGCTTCACCAGTCTCAGTGTCCTCTCTAATCTGCCCACATGCCCACTCTAGAGTGGGAGAAGCCCCAACTTTGTGTGGGGCTGCAGCCACAGTGACTCAGAGGCTGGGGACTGGATCCCACACCCAGCCCAAAAGACCCTCCATACCCCCATTCCCATTACACAGCTGACAGTGCATAAGGCACTGTGGGGGGTATAAAAGGTATAATCAGAAGCAGTGGTGCAGGTATGCGTTGAAAGCTATGCAGCATACCAGGCAGAGGGAGCCTAGAATGTACTGGATGAATGCATGAAAGAGGCCAATGGGAAACGCTGGTGCCTTGGGGCACAGGCAATAACCCTAGCTGCCCATCACAGTCACCCAGGCTGGGTCCTGGCCCCAGAAATTCCAGCCCAGCAAGTCTGGGGTAGAGCCGGAACATGGGAATTTTTAATGAGCTACGTAGTGAGAAGACACAGCCACTGGCACAGAGGGACAAATCCCATTTTTAAGCACCAATCAGACGTGGAGTGAGGAAGCTGCTGCCAGCAGTGGTGGTGATCCCTCAGTGTGGGAAGAGTGGCCTGGCCCATCAGGATCCCACCCCTCTTCCTGAGCCTGCAGGAAGGACAGCATGGAACTTGAGGGACCACTCAACTTGTCAGCTGCCCTATGGACCTCCTGAAATGTCCTGGATACACCTGAACCACTCCCCCGGGGACTGTGAAGTATGGGCAGTCAGGAGCGGAACAGGTCTCACACCCAAACTGCATCCCCACCTACCCCAAACTGGGGGGTTGGGGGAGGAAGGAAGAGAGAGTAGAGGGGAGGAGAAGGCAGAAAAGAAGAGAATGGGGAGGGAGGAGAGGAGCGAGGGCAGGGGCAACGGTGGGAGAGGGTTGGGGACGGGGGCGTGTAGGGACAGGCATCATGAAGTTCCAGCGCCACGAGGGCCTAGATCATGGTTCTATCCAAACATTTGTTTGGTGAATGGATGCAAAGCTTGAGCTTTAGGAGGAAAAAAGAATCTGGGATGGGAATAGTTTCCTACAAATAAGGTACTAAAGCTGTATTTTGGCTTTCTGGTCGGTGATCTAAGATACTTGAGTAAGATTCTTGGCTAGAGACAGAAGATATCACATCGCTTAAGGCCAGAGTTCTACCAAGGTAACAAAAAATGTTGTAACCAAATAAAGACAGGAAAAAATATTCCAGGTAGAACTTTGAGAACTAGACAACCAAAAAAGAAGCAACAGAGGAAGAAATATCCAATATTCATGGGAGAAGCAAAAATTTAAAATAGTCTGTAAGTATATTTATGGTTTCAGAAATCCATATATTAACACTATGAAGTACGGGTAAGAAACACAAGAAGGTAAATTCCACAATTACAACAATATGGCAAGATGGGACTCAACTGTAACATGGCAATGCAAAGTTGTGTCCTGCTCAAGAAAAAAAGGACTCAGTGAATACCGTGGAGGCGGTCTAGGCAGGGAACATATGGTGCTTTGACATCAAGGAGGTTCCTGAGGTTATAGGAACAGAGATAAAGACGCTCCTAGAACAGGAGGAAGCCACACACGCTGGCCAGATAGAAGAATGGGGTGATGCTACTGACGGCAGAGCTGGAAGGTTTGGAGGCCAGAGCATCTCTGATGAACTTGCTAGCGAGCTAACCTCTCCAAAGATGGAAGAGGCCTAATTCTAACCAGTAAGGAAGAACTGATTATAAGGCAGAGGTGAGAGAAACCAAGGCAAACAAACAAGCAAACATCATCTTCAAGGAATGCCGGGCATCTGTAGGAGAGTTTCCCCACAGTATGCTGCTGCACTCGAACAGGACTCTCTGAACTTGAGCATCTTGAGCCCTGCTCACTAAATGCCAGGTATTGTGATACCACCACGCCCTGATTTCCCAATGTCCTGCTGAGCTCCAGTGGAGAACCACTGGCTCTACTCAGTGCTAAAAGTCCTGTATTGCACAAGACAGTCCCACAGTCCCGCAGAGGAGAGTCACGCAGCCCAAAGTGCCAACGTGCCTTCACCGAGGAAAACAACATTTAGGAGTTGGATTCAAGCTATCGGTGAAAAGACAGGTTCCAGCTGAAGGTCTCAGACTCTAAAAGGCAAAATGACTGAAGAGGATTGGCAAATGCTCAAGCAAAATTGTGCCCCTACAATCGAGAGTCATCCTGACAATGAAGAGATGGGAATGAAATTTAAACAAATCAATGTAAATTCAAAGAGTTCACATTTAAAAGGTTATTACAAAAGATGAAAGGAAGGACTCAACAAAGAGAAAACAAAGCTCTGGAAGAACAGAGTCAGGAAGACCAAAGCCAAGATTGACATGCGCTTACAAAATATGCTCCTACCAAGATTTTTTTCGGTAATGTGCAGAGCAAGAACAAGACCCAGGTCAGCTGCTTCTGTCTGATGGCATAACGCTGACCAGAGAGACAGGGCGCACACAAGAGAAAGCAGAACCAGCTATCTAGCAAGTCCCTCCTCCCTTCCCAGGGTAAAAGGGGAGTACAAAGAGAACCACACTTCTCAAAACAAGATCAACTTCTGAAGCCGGAAGTGGGTTTCAGGGTACCGAGAGAACTTTCAGGAGGCCTGGTGGGGTGCCCAACTGTTCCAGAGAGAAAAAGTACATCCACAAATTCCAGAGAGCCTGATGCTGCAAGTCGTGGAGTGTGGCAAAACAGACTAGGAGCTAGCAGCTCTGCAAGCACTAACAAACAAGGTGAGCCTGGGCCCCACAGGAGTCCACTCCTCCGAGATGGGTCGGAAACCGCTCTATACAGGGACCACTCTGTCATACAACTCAGTGTATGCCTCAGAGTTTTGGCAAAGTCTCTCTCTTTATATTTTTATTCTTTTTTTTGGCGGGGGCGGGGGAATCTAGGATGGGGCCTAGAATATCAATGGCCCAAAATCTCACTGAATACTCTCCATGCACAACCCATTTTGAGAACTCCTCAGGAGCCTTGTGATTCTTAACTAGTTTGTGGTCATAGTCCTCTTTTTAAAAATCCAAAAGCAATGGACCCGTCATCCAAATGAAGTATGCACACAGAATCTTTCAAAGGCCCATTCTCACCCACCCAAGACCCCTGGTGCAGTCCAAATGAATGGCGTGCAGAATCCCACACACTGGAGCGGAGAGTCTCCCTCTAAGCGAGGTGTCTCCCCATGTCCAAACCTGCTCATCTTTCGAGGCCTATCTCAAATGCCCCCTCCTCTAAAAAGCACCCTGTGCCCTGGCTGGCAGTGTGCTCCTTTCTCTCAACAGCCACTATGTTTATGGACAAGATGCAGAAACAAGGCTGGATGAAGAGTTGGGGAGGTGCCCAAACAGCTGAAGAACAGACGGCCTGAAGGCCCCCTGGAGAGAGGTGAGCCCCCTCCTAACAGTGTGAATGCTGACAGAGTGTTCAGGAGTCAGACACCAGGGAAGGGACACATGCTCATATGCCCTTGACAGTCAAACCAACAATCCAAGTCAGAGAATGAAATTCTTGTGGAGACACAGTAAAAGCCTGAATGTGGTCACAAAGCATTACCTTGCATCTAGTACAGGACACCAGATTTAGCAGCTGTGTGAAAATGGATGAGTGTCACCAACCAAAGGTTTGTGTCCTGTATAATGACCACGATGACCTGAGCTATTCAGACACAAACTCCTTCTCCAGTTCTGGGTACTACATTTTAGAAAACCACCTCAAATGGAGGCTGTTCAGAAGAACCAGAACTGTGAGGACCATGTCCTACTAGGAATAGTCATGAAGAACCAGGGATTTGGGGCCTGGAAAAAGAGATTTAAAGGTGACATGACAACTGTCTTCAAACCATGACAGGGTTCACCTGTGAGAGAGAGATTCAGCTTCCTAGAAGCACAAAGAGAAAAGAACTAGGGCCAGTAAGTGTTGGTTACTCCAGGCAGCCTTTCGCTTGGTGCCATCTACTGTGACCTGAGCCTCCTGGCCAGGGGCTCATGCGGGCTGAGGGAGAAAGTCAGCCCTTGCTGGACTGTCGGAAAGTCAAACCCCTTCTGAA